TTTAGCTTTAGGCCTACATAACTAGAATATATCATAATTTTAGCATTTTAGTAACATATTTACTTCAATGCTTTTTTTTTAGAAACCTAGGGCTAGAAAATACGTGTTCCTAATTTCTGTGTTTTTTTTTCTATTTTTTTTAAATAAATTTGTAGACTTAATATAAAGAAGTTTTACAACCCGAGGAAATGAAACATATTAAAATTACATAATCAAACACGTAACAATATATACTCAGTCATAACCAACTAAAAATCACCAGATATAAAATTTAATGAAAACACTTCAATCTAAAACCGGATGAAAACATAACGCATACATAATGCATAACGAAAACAACCGTCGACCCAACACCTGGTATGGAAATGCAAGTGGCCATATTTTCAGAGATTAACACTTCTTGGGCGGGAAATGAAATATCTGATGTGACAACTGGAATGATAATCTCGCCGGGCTTGGCACAATGGACAAAGCCGCTTAGTTCAAGCCCCGGCCACCACGCCGCAGCACCGTCTCAATGTCCTTATTCAAAGATATGCTAATGCGATAAGTAAATTATATTTCCCTCGAAATCCAAATCCTGAGTTATTCCGCTCACGAATAATATAAACTGTTTTGAACAACTCGGTTTCCTCTAAGATATCGTATTTATGAGATTAGGCTGTAAAAAGGGAGTAAAGCGAGATTGAGTTAGTCACTTCCATCGTGATTTAACGTAAATGTTTATACAGTGGGTGGTAATTTAGTGGGTAAATAGATTAACATTTTGGTCTGTTTGAAGATTTAGGTTTGTCTTTTGTAATTAGGAATAACCTCTTTTAAATTGAGTAAACTTTTCGAAGTAATATTTAGAACATCGTCAAATATATTTGCTGTATAAAAATTCGAATTAAAGAAATCGTTACACTTTGCCTAGATCCACTCAAAGCCAAACTTAGAATGTTATTATGTATTATTTCGCTGGGTAACAGAGTGGTTTAGGTGTTAACCTGATAATCAAAAGGTCTAGTAATCATCAAAGTAGCATTTTGATTTTTAGAAACTCTTGATGATGGGGATTTTAATGAATGGTCCTGGCTAATGCAACAGTTGGTTTAAGACTTTAAAAGCAAGGCAAGATATTTAATTCTACACTCATATTTAGGTAAAAAATACGCACGTACTTGATAACTACGTCCCAATCTTAATTAATAATTATAATAAAAATATAATTTTATTAATACTTGTAGATTAAATAAAACAGTTCATGAAAGTTTCTCTTACATTATATTGGGTATCTATAGAAAAATATTATATTGTTAATATAGAATCATTACAACTATTATCCACAACTCCAAATATCAATTGCCTCTATTTGCTCGCCCTGATATATTTCCTTGGAGAGAGTGAAAATCCACATCGGATGATGTCCCAGGGAGAAGCTGTACAATAATGGCTACCCCCTTCCCCCAACTCCCCCCCCCCCAGGCTCTGTATCGCTCTATAGTCTCTTCCCAAGAGACAAGATCCCCAAATGTGCGTCGATTCTCTTTTTCGCACAACGCCTTTTTAAAAGCCTGAGGTAGAAATGAAATCATCTGTTGTAACAGGTTTTTTATCCACGGAAGTGTTTTAGTTTAAATATTGTTATATTTTTTAAATCTTTTTAGTTCGTTGGAATAATTTTTATTAGTGTGTATTTCATTTCAACTCCAATCCTTATTGCTGTTTTCACAGGTTTAAATTTTATGAGAGTTTAGAATTTTGTATTTCTTTAAATTTGAGTTGTAATTAATGTGTCCTTGCTGAACACTAGTAAAATATTATCTATTTTACGAGACAAAAATAGTTTTAAACTTTTATTTAGTTTTAACCAGAGTTCATATTTGAGACTCTCTGTCATATAAAATAAATACATTTTTATATTCCTTCACAAATATTTATTTTTTATATTACGTTTCAAGAGCAGATGTATTTTTTACATATTTTTTAGGTCACTATCAACAGTATATCGTTTTACTTCATGATGACACACATTTCCGTAGATCATCATTTAATATATAGTCCAATAACAAAATGTAATTTAATTTAATTCGTGATTAAGTTTGAATCTAACCAGTGTACTTCAAATTTAAAGTAAGTATCACAACAGAAATTTTGTATCTTACATTGTTCACTTGAGATAAATTATGCAAACAATTTCGTAATTAACTCGATAAACAGGAAGCATAAAGAAAGTGTTCAAAACTGTTTCGAAATCTCATTAACAATGAAATAAAGACCCTTGAAGTGCAGTAATGTCTCTTTAACAATTCACGGAGCACAACACTGTAATATTCAAAGGGAGAATCGTGGTTCACACGAGAGGCGTTTGTCAATTATTTTGTACACTATCAGACCACTGGTTTTTGAAAATTTTTACACCTGAAGGACGATATACTTATAGTATATTTATTACTAAAACAGCTATTTTATTTCTGACCATTTAGGTCTAAATATGAAATATTCATAGTTTGTAAGTGCTACAAATGTTAGTGGTTTAAATAATATTATGGTGTAAAATATTATTCTAAAATTGGTTCATAGATTATACTATTTATTGTTGTATTTTGACCTGATTATGGAAATGAAAGATGTATTCTGCATTCATAATCTTTTTCAATTCAAGGATTAGGTTTTGAAAAAAATCTATAATTCCACTATAAAATAATGTGTTGTTAACGTCCGCAAAGTTACTGAGTTGGTCTTTGCTGCTAGGGGAACAGGTTCAAGCATCCAACTCAAATTTAGACAATTTTCCCTTAAAGGTGTGTGGTCCCTATGCAAAATGGCACTGGCAAAGACATTAGAAAATAAGGAAATTGACCCATTTATTTTCACAAGTATTTATTGAATAGATTTTTGAAAATCTTTAAAATATACCTACAACATCGCCTAGCTAACTTTAAATTATTTATGTGAACATTAAAATCAAACCCACCCAAGAAACTGGAATTAATTAGTATATTAACAAGAACCACTGAGAAAATTGCATTTCAAACATTAATCAAAGCTTACCACCCATACAAATTCTGCTTCAAAGAAGGTTTGTTTGGTGAAGTTAGTTCAACAGCTGTTGGTAAACAATTCCGCAGTGTTCTATCGAGTGTTGGACAGATTTACAGACTGTGGCAGCCAATAAGGGCGCCGTCACTGCCAATATTGGACAACACCTGGTAATATTGGCTCACTGTCCCGGCCTTACTTTACTTGTTGACACGTGAAAAATGGGTATTGGGTTTGTTGTATACAATATGGTACATAAACTATGGCAATTCCAATAGTTTATTTTTAGTATAGATAACAATTATTATCAGTTCGTAGTTTGATTACTTGTGGATTCTGTTATTGAATGTTGTTTTGAAAGTGAAACAATTTCTTACTTATAAGATTTTACTAATGTATTGAAATTATCAATTATTATCAATGACCAATTAGATGAGATATTGACACTCCCTAGGTGCGTATTTGAACTAAAATATGAGTTAAGGATGAGTGTAGAATGTTTTAAGATGATCTGTGTAGTACAACTAATCATAATCTCATTCATAACAATACAATTGATTTTAAAATTGTATTTCTATACGATTGATATTGTTTTATTTAATACAAAATTTTATTTCACGATAGGGTGTTTTTTTAATGAAACCAAAATAATTAGCAAAACCGGCTAATAATATCTAAAATCTCTAATATCGAACCAGCGATCTTTTCATCGGTAGGCGAGCACTATAACCCCTCATTACCCAGCCAAATTATCCAAAAATTTAAATTACCATGATTTCAAACTCACAACAGCTTAGTGTGATTATTTGATCAATCAGTACCGTATCATAAAAGTCTTACATTAAAAATAATTTTCTGCGAGGAAAGTTTGGGTACGTAATTAATTGTATTTGTCAATGGTACAATATAATTAGATTCAAAACTACGATTACTTGCCTCGATTACGGATACTTGCTGTGGTATTATTCTTTTCTTGATGCACATTATGAAAATAAACTTCTAATGTAACTTATATACACTATTTTCCTACCCCTTTTGCAAAATCACAAAAACTCCGTTAAAATACGAAGCTAAAAACACCTCGAGGCTGGCTAAGGGCTGTTTGAAAGCGACATTGTTTGCTAATGGTGGCTTGAGCCGCGAAGGTAATGAGCCGCTACTCTGACACCGGCGCTGAGTTGTGTGACAAACTAATTGACCAAAAGCTACATCTTAACTCAGGAAAACACCCGTATATTTGCACCAGCAAAGTGTGTGTACATATGAGTAAAAAAATAAATATCTTTCCCTGGAGAGGCACTTTTTACTGTAGAGTGGCCAAGTTAAATTTTCATGTGTAGTAAAATGTGATCAGTACCACTACAAGACTAATTTACACTAATAAATTTAACTTTCAAGTTTTACCTTATAGTATATAAATTGTTGCAAGCTATGGAAGTGTTTTCCAAGAATCAACAATATGAAATTAAGTTAAGGTAAATTTAAGAATCAGATTATTTACAATTTACATAAGAAACGAAAGGGGAGATTTAAGGTGGCAATGATTTTTGTGAATCGTTAGGCATCTGTAAAGTTCTTTGCATGAATTGTACCCCTTTCAAAGCAAGCATTACTAAAACCCTTTTAAAAGTTTATGTTTTGTATTATACCTTTAAGAATGTTGATGAGTATTTTTCATTTTGATCATTTAGGTGAACCAAGTACCTAAATTAAGACGTGGGGGTCCTGCTACCAATTTACTGAACATATTCTAGAATAATTTCAATAGTAGTTACATTTAACAAGAAAAGGTGATTTTAGTGATTTTAAATTAAAGTAACCTTATCCCTAACCCTTCGAGGATTATACATAAACTGAGAGCAATGCTAATATTTACTCAGACACACCATCAATATGGTGTCTTTTGTATTCTGAAATACTTTTTTAGCGATTTACTATTTTACACATAGATAGTAATCATATTTGTTATGTTACAGGATCCCCAGCGGCGGGGGCGGCCCCGGAGTACAACACTGCCAATGGTGCCGTGGACTCCACAGACCCTACCTTCACCACCCCTGGCCGGGTGTTTCGCATTGTAACCAGTGACACTGTCGTTCTACCCTGTGACGTGGACAACCCTGGTAAATAATTTATATAAGTAAAATAATTTTTGCTAAATTACAGAAAAATTCATTTTCACATAAATCATTTAGAAAATTGCCCTACAACGAGTTAATCGTAATGGACTTAGGTATGGCACTTCTGGTTTACAAAGATTTCCCAAACTAGCCTTGTCTGACCTTAGAAAGAGAGGGGATTTAAAGGTTTTAGTATATTTTTAGTTAAAAATTATAATACTTTCCCTACCAATCGAACAACCTTAAAACACAAGTTACGGGTTTTTTCTGCACAAACTTAGAAGATAACTATTTGTGCTGGCGGAACGTATCACGTTCTATCTAATGCATGTTAAGGAGGGGGAAAACGTTTGCTACTGCTAATAGCTTGCTTTTAAATATATCTTAATATGACAAAATCTGGCAAATATTTTGAAAATTTATATAGTTGGTTCATCATAATATATTTCTTGATTAGCTTGTTCAAAATAACACTAAAACAACTCTTTAACTAACCTTGTAGAACGAAATGAAAGAAATTGTTTATAGTTTGAACAACTGTTTTAAATATTCTTCTGAGCTTCAATTGTAAATGCTACTTTGATAAAAAACAAATGAAGGGACCACTGACATTATGCAACTGCTCTTCCCTTAAAGATTTCTGATGCAACCAACATTGAAACATTCAAGGCTTCCAAGACTTTAGGGCATAATTGAAAAGTCAACATTGTTAACAAGACAAAACAATTAATTAGCGTGGTTAGAGAGGAGGGCCTTTCAGTGAATTATTCAGGCAGTTTGCTTTGGCAAATGAAATCAGCTTGTTATTTCGTAATACCCATTCAAAAAGGACGCTAGAAAATTATCTTAGTTTTACCATTTTATGGCAGACTCTTTGTATTGTGAAGTGGTAATTACAGTAGATCTTTTAGTAGTAATAAAGGCCGGGGATACATATTGTATAAGGGCCCCAAGATTGAAATGGAAATTAATGTGCAATACTTCTTAAAGTTTTCAGATTGATTACTAAAGACAGTGTCTTCTAATATTTTTAGGTTGATAGATAAAATGGCTTTGATTACTTTTTAATGACAATCGCGAATAAAATTAAAACATTTATTTCTATGTACCTGGTCAAAATTTTTGCTACAGTACTACATGGATAGTTTTCTTACGATAGTTTGATTCACAGGCAACTTTGTGCTGGCGTGGAAGCGCGGGATCGCCATCTTGACGGCGGGCAACATCAAGGTCACTCCGGATAACCGCTTCAGACTGGTGGACGGCTACAACCTGGAGATAAGGGATGTCCAGACCAACGACGCAGGCAACTATGTGTGTCAGATAGCAACTCTGCAGCCCAGGGAGATAACACACACACTGGAGATACTAGGTAATTGTTTTATTGTGCCTGGGGACCGAGCTTTGCTAGGGGAAATCTTTAGATTCTGAGAGCAGTCTTTGGTCAGTGTCATTTATCCTAATCTTCTGCAGTATATTTCTCACCAGTGAGTTAGTAATATGGTAGTTTATTATGTGTCATACATACCCTTTGAAAGTGCCAATGATTTTATAATGAGGTTGTTGACATTTTATGGAATTATATGAAAACTTTCTATGTTTAAATCCAGTAACACCTTAAATGTGTAGGGATTCTTTTAACAAAAATTTATAAATGCTCATGTAAAGAAGATAAGTATATTATTTAACAAAATAACGTGAGCCTCAATAATCAACGACATTTTTTCTTAGCTCACAGCCATAGGATGTAGACTTTGCCAGTGAGACCACCAGTTCAAGGATACCATAATAGCATTGATAATTGTTTAAGATATTCAATACTATATATTATTTTCGTTTGAGTCTCATAAAATAGCATAAATGATTTCTTTTTAAGGTTAAATATATTATTTCTCTAACAAAGACATTACTACTATAAAGCATACAAATTAGTTTGTTTACAAATGACGTTAAATTATAAATTCATATCGTGATTAAAAATTTAAAAATAGTTTCCTGATAATAATAGTATGAAATACCCGATGACTATTCGACTCCATGCTGTTTGTTGATCAGCAGACAGTCATGATGCCACTCTAACTAACCGTAGACACCAGTTATAACGTGTCACCTATCGCGCCTCGCACCACAGCTGCATGCATAATCAACCGGCCTGCCAAATGTATACTAATTGGGGCTGCAATTGCATAACTAGAGATGGGCCATGCTAATTCACAACCATATAATTGATACATTAAAATAGTAGTTTACGCAACGATTGCGTAAAGACAGTGTTAACGACACGAGTAGAAAATTTAAGGAACGAGCCTTGGCAAGTGCCTTAAAAACTTCTACGAGTGTCGTTAACACTATTTACCCGAGTTGCGTACACTACTTTAACTACGACGGTGTTTAATTTACTAAAAATCACTACTTATAACTTCTAAGAGAGGTTATGTTTTTGTTTATAACCTCTCATTGCCACTGACGGTGATGCAACAAAACATTGTATCAAACACTAATTAAACAATTGTATCAACAACTAATTAATCAACAATTAAATTGGCCTTAACAGCTGATTAGTTGAATTTCGAAACATTACAATTTTGCTTCTCCTCTCTCAATCCTTGAACCTCATTGGTCCGTTACCCGTGTTGTATGAGTAAAACTATGCTGTTATGAAAGTAAACAATGCTGTTATGAGATACCTTTCAATTCTAAGAACTGTACTGAAACGGCTACTTTAAAAAACGGTTGTAGGTAAAATATTTTTTTGTAACCTCTATTTATGATAATCATGAAACTAACATGTTAGAGCAAAATAAGGTACTAATCTAAGATGAACAGTTTTATGCTTTACTGGGTTGTATATGTATCAACAAACGTTAAAGTTCCAATGGGTATTGCTAATATTTACAGTAGTCAGTGATATTGTCTTACAGGTCTTACAAGAATGCTTTTAGTTTAGATATTGAACACAAATATTGCCACAATATTTAAGAATGGTATTATTTATTTAGTTTTCCATTATTTATAACCACAAATGCTAGTCATTGGTTGGTACTAATTTCCTATATTCCGAGTGATCTTTGCAGCAATCTAAAGACAGTGGAGAGCATGGTTTTTATAGAGCATTTCTTTATTGATGAAACATTGTTAAAATTAGTTCTACAAGATCTAGGTACTTGTTTTACAACCTTAGAAAATAATTGTAACAATCTTTACAAATAATCCTTTTTGCAGTTCCTCCTCGGATCGACTACGTTTCCTCAGAAGGAGAGATGCAAGTGAAGAAAGGCTCGACGGTCACTCTGCAATGTAAAGCATCTGGAAACCCAGTTCCAACCATCTCTTGGACTCGGAAGGTCAGTAATTAATAAAAATAGTTTCTGTTGATTTTAACCAAAATTATCTTAGAGTTGTTGTGTCTTTTATCGATGATTGTGTTTGTCTTCAAGTTGTATACCTTATGCAACCTTAAACAACATGGTTTGATTAGTTAAAACCTTATTATTACCCTGTCATCTTCTTTTCTGTCAAATGCTAGTGTTTTTCCTTTTTGCAATATTTTATTCGTTGTCGCATCAGGGAGTTGGAAAAAGACGCATCATCAGTGGTAGCATGAATTTGTATTTTTAAGGAAAGAAAAAACACCTAGCTTAGTATAGCCTAATATAGTCTTAAGTTATAAAAACATTTATTTGATAGTTATATTTATTTCAAATTTTAATATATTACAAATTTGGATTATAATATACAAAACAAATGTACTAAACAAGCATAAAATGAATTTAGAAACAATGTTTCAAGTTAATAAAACAGCAATAAAGGTTATGGCATTGTGACTTTTGCCTAACATTATTAATAACAATATTCTTACCTTAAAAGGTGTTTGCTTGGTATAGTAACATTTTAGAAGAACAGAAGAGATTATATTTACGAGTCTTAAAATAGAAATTGAATTAATACTTTGGATTAGAATGGATATATAGATATGGCTTGGCCGAATACAGCAGACATCTCTGTTACCCGTAGCTGTCATCATTAACGGAACATAGAAGAACCAAAAAACCAAAGATTTTTCCATTACTGGTTCAATGCCATTGAAATTATAACATAACTGTGATCCAAGGTAACTAACTTATACAATATAAAATATAATTTGATTCCTCCAATAAAATAACAAAAAACAATATTCCAGTTCATATGCAACATTCGTCTAAAGCCCATGTATAAAAAATTACATGTTTATATGTCTAAACAGCAAAACAAACTAAGTTTATGTAGCAGTGTTTAACAAGTTAGCTTTCTTAGTTGCGCCTGCAGAACTCTCGTTGCATTTTGCATTGCGGCTCAGAATAAAGCTAGAGAACATGCCGTCGTAGGCGCCTTTATGGCTTGTTTTATAGTTCTATTTTGTTTTCGTTGTCACAACTGTATTCCTTGCAACTACAAGGATTGTAGTACGTATATAAGTAAATCCCAATATAATATATTATCATCTAAAATTGTTAATAAACATTTTAATTTAAATTTTTCTAGAGGTAAAACTGATATAAAGATTAAATGATTTTGTTTTAAGTACCAATAAGCAAATGGTTACTCAAAACTTCAAAGAAGGAATTTACAATTTAAATAGACAAAGGCTACTTATTACTTCTTTTCATCCATTTGTTGTCATTATAATCTACAGACAATAAACCCTTAAATATAAACAACTAATAAATAACTAACAAATAAAAAAATGTTACCTTTTTTATGATTGAACAAAAACCAATTGTAAATTTTGACAAAACTCTTTTGTGTAAAATGCTTAGGTTATTTGATTTTATTGGTTTATTTGTAATATATTGAATACCTTTTCTTCTTTAAAAACAATATAAATAATCACATTCGTATTAAAAATCGTTAAATTGATTTGAACACAATCAATATTTTACCATAGTTGTTAATAAAATAAAAAATCTCATTTCATGATGGCAGCCCAAGTTCATCACCGTTGTGCTGGATTTAAATATCCATTCAATTGTTTGCTCTTTACTTTTAGAAAAGATGACATTCATAGTAAAAAGGTGTTTTAACATAGACAACATCGACGTTTCAAACTTGAAAAACTATTTACACCAAAAATCGTTTTATTTATATAACAAATTCTTATTTCTAGAACAACCTTCTACCCTCTGGTGAGAAGTCGGTGGAAGGATTCTCCATTACCATTGAGAACGCCAACCGTCATCAGGCCGGCATCTATATCTGTACAGCGGCCAACGGTGTGGGCGACCCAGTCATGAAACAGATCAACCTTCACGTACTGTGTAAGTTGTCTTTAACAGACTTGTGTATAGTTGTGTACCATAACCAACAGATGTAATGTGAAAACATACTAAGGCTATAACTAGACATCTTATTCTGCAAGACATCTGAATGTAATATAGAAAACAATTTAACATAGTTTAATTGAGTTACAACTAAGAGTACCTGAAAGTACAAAAAATACGTCAAATAACACTCGTAAGAATATATTTACTCTTAAACTGTTAATTCACAAGACTGTAAATACATATAAGAGATGGTAAGTGGTGATCGATTTTGATTGGACACTCCAATCATCATCAGACCCAATAGGCTTATGAAATACTTACCATCGTTTATGTGTATTTACCGTCTTGTGAGTCTACAGTATGATCTGAAATATATAACTAGAAGTGCTACTTGACCATATTTTGTATTTTTAGGTAATTTAATATCATGTAAGTTGCTGATCAAGAAGTTATTTAAGTAAAAGTAGTAAGGTACAAAGAAATCTCTCTCATAGAACAACCGCGCACTTTCAGCTCTTGTACGTTGTGCCAAAAATATACAATATATGTGATGAGCAATGAAGAGCCTGAACGCCGAGCACTGTGCGGAAATTCCTATAGTACAGGGCCCAGGGTCTTCTTCCACTGTGAGAGTTGTAGTACATGATGACAGAAGGTGTTGGAAGTTTCCCTAGACACCAGCACTAGTTCTAGACACCACTTAGGTGTACGATTGAATAACTCTGTTTATTACTTATCTGCGGTTACAGAAATAATGCGTTATGTGAATTACTGGCTTCGTAGAAGTATTCAACTTTAAAACTTGTTCAACTAAAACTAAAGGACGATTGGTTATAGCAATCCATACAAACGAGCTACAACATTAATAATCAATTATCAATCAACTATCAATTATTAGAATGGCCTAATTAACGAAGAGATCGTAGCTTTAGGCTGTAGTACCCTCTGTGGTTTACCCATTAAACTATGGTCTTTTATAATTAAATATTGGCTACAGATAGTACAGGTCATATTTGTTCTTCAGCATTGAAAAAAATCAAATGGTAAGACATACGCTTCATAATATCAAATGTGTTCAGGCAGTTTACAAAAAATATGGATTATTTCCTTGAAACTCCTTATAATCAATATCAGTCACAAGCTTGATTATAAAGATCATTTCTTAGTCAAATTGTGTAATATTGTTGTTTCTCCCTCTTTACCGAGTGGTCATTGTGGCTATCAGATAAAAATATAGGACTTTGGTTGTGTGTAAACTGGGTTGATTGTTTGTGAATATGTTTCCAAAAACAGAGTTATCGCTAGTAGGAACATGAATCTTGTTTATTTTCAATACATCATATTATTAGTAATTTTGCAATTTGTATTCTTGGTGTGTATGTAAAGTCAATATAAACTTTTTTACAAGACTTCTATCTATCATTGATCTGTTATTAAAACACGTCATTACAGATAATAACCTAATGACAAGAGACAACTTAGTCTAGTATTATTAGTCTAATCAGGACTGTTACTGCCTATCCAAACCAATTATAGAGTACCTCACCTGTATTAATATTTGATTAGCACTGGTTTCAAAATGTTTCATTATTAAAGAACTTTACTTTCCGCTGTACAAAATTGTAATTCAGTGTAAATTAATTTCGGGTAATTAAAAATTATTAATTACCCTTATTTTTGTGAAAATAAAGATTTAACTCTAAGGAATTTGAGATGTTATCCTAATTAATTTACAAAGATTATTTAATTTACAGTATAAAAATTATTACTATGAACTAATTTCAATTTATTGTAACATAAATTCAAAGCTATTAACTGTTTTTTTCTTCGTCAATATTGGTGAATATTCTGCATTCACGCACATTCAATACTTTCCTAAAGATGCTTATTTGGTAGAACATTTTCGATTCCAAAAATGAATGGCTTATTTCAATAATCATTAGTAGGCAATTTAAATGCAAAACGAAGACTTGAAGAAACAATACAGAAGAACAGCTAACCTGTTATATTTTATAGATTTAATTATCAGTTGCTATAGTATGTATAGAAGATATTAGTGATCTATTGCCTGATCCTATTGTTTGCTTGTATTGCAGATCCACCAGAGATAGAGGTGGAGAGGGGGTGGGTCCACTCAGGGGAAGGCTACGAGGCTCAGCTGGTTTGTCTAGTGCACGCTGAACCCCCTGCTGAGGTGGGTCATTGTTAGGTTATCTTATGTATGAAATGTGTTGAAAAGGCTACATTAAGTGTAGATTTCAGTATTGTTAGACCATTAGGAGCTGTATTTGAATTTATGTATATCTTAAACGTAGGCGTTACACTTTAAACTGTGATTTTAAGTAACTATATGGATCTTTCGGTAGGGACACGCACTCAAACAATAGTATTTTAGTCAGGAAAATAGGTGTTTACCGGGCGGGGATGGTGCGGGATTACCACACGAGTACTGTAAACACATTTTCGAAGAGTGACGTACTATATCTTTTGCCATAATACTCTTAACTAACCTAACAATAAAAAACTGTATAGATCCGTTTTATATTCCCACAGACTAAAAGACAATCACAATTCATGAATTCTTAGAGAGACTATGTTTTCGTTTATTGATACGTGGACGGATTGCCAATCAGCTGGTGTTTTGATTAAAACTAATTACAGTACAGTAGCACGTAATGAACCCGCATTTGATTAAGCAGACGGCAAACTGCTGTTTTCCGGACTAATTTCAGAAAGTGTATTAAAACAGTGTAGTGTGGCGAAAATCAATAACGACGCAAATGATAAACCACAAGGTTGGGTAAACATAGGTAAAAATGTTTTTTTTTCGGGGTGGCAACTAGTTTCGGTTCACATTCATGAAAATCTCCTTAGGACTAAAATTGTTCCCTACAAAAGAATAAAAAAAAAACACATCACCTTACGAATCACATAAGCACCCATAAATTACTATTGCCACGATTATATTGGCAAACCAACCATTTGGACCGCTTATGTTTTTTACTCTCTTTACGGTATATCTCAGGCAATAAGGAGGCTACCTAACTTAAAATGTAACATACAATCATGATTACTTTTTGTAAGATACTTCCTCGTAGACAGAAGGGTATAGACTAAAAGTTTTAAGACTCAAGAATATTATTCGTTGTGACTGGTGATTGGATTGTATATACTTTTTATCGTCTAGACAAAGAATGTATATCAAAATGAGTCAACACTCTTATAAAATAGCAACTAATAAAACCTTTTAAATATATATCTTCGGTTCTTTGTCCCAGCGGTTTAATCTAGTGAATGAGATTTTATTATTCTAGTAGTAGGTATTGTAGTTTCTCCAGGAGGTTTCAAAATACGTTATAATCTTTGACTGGATGTACACCAGGTGCTCTGGTACCGAGACACTCTAAGGCTGGACTCCACCGAGCGACGTATCATGGAGGTACGTGGTACCAGACACACCCTTATCATCAGGAAGGTCCAGAGCTCCGACTTTGGCAACTACACTTGTCAAGCTGACAACCAGATAGGCAAAGCAAAACAGTCTCTGGAGCTGTCAGGTTAGTTTATAAAAAAAGCTATTAATATTCACAAAATATATTATTTGGTTAAAGCTGTATCTTAAATTGTATTTTCTACAGGGTCTACACACTCTTAATTTCACCTATCATCATTTTGTCCTTTTGGTGAAGTCGTTGATCTCAGAATTTTGATAATTGTATTTATTAATAGAAAGGTACCAATATTTGTATATAAGACTTTTCTGTGTTTTGTGATTAACTCAAAAAACAATGTCAATCACCTTGTTTGACACATATTACCGAAAAACTTGAAAACAAGATAAACCACAAAATAAAAAAAAGTCAAAGTCATAAGAGCAAAGTTGCTCTTATAATTGTCGAGTTTATCTTATGATGAAACGTTTTGCTCTTTCATGCATTAAATTTGGCTATCATTGTAAACATATCTATTGATACTCCTTAAACAGAAACGTTTAATTAACAAAATTACGACAATCATCCAGCACATGTTTTATTACAATTTTATTAAAATTTGCATTGCAATGGAAATACAAAATTTTACTATAAAAATTTATACTTGTCTAATCTATTGCTTCAATATATAACAGACGAAGAAATCCGTTGGGTGTTTTTGCTTTGCTTATTGATTATTAATAAATCCAAGTTGAAGACTATATCTTTTTGTCAAACTTAAAAAGGTTTGTTATTGGACATAATTGTACTTATTTTGTATCACGTAATCACGTGATATTTGCTCCGAACGAAATAACTGCAACCCTTTATACATCGTTTATAAAATAAATAAATAAATCGCCATCACAACAAACATCTATCTCCACTTAAACCCCAAATATTTATCTTTTTACAATTTGAACTTTATTTATCTCGACACAATAAAGAGAAATGTAAATCAGCCACAATCAAATCTAAGGATTATTCTGACTGTATTAACCGTAGATACAGTTATGCTACAACCATAGTAAAACGTTGCCTCTCCCTTCAGCAGACTCTGACGTAACTGAAATTATTAATTAAAAGTGCACACTAGTAGTCTTTCCATTAATCACATTTGACAGCTGTGGGAGTGATGTCAATTCTGGAGATAAAGATACGCTGGTCTTGTCAAGTTAGGTGGAGGCGAATTGGAATATCATCATGATACTATTGGGGTGGGATTTAAAATGTTGATATATTTGATTACACTATTGTTTTGTTTCACAGGAAAGCCCAACCCAGCAACGTTCAGAAGTCACCCCATGGGTAGGTTCAGAGACAGCTACAACATCACCTGGGCAGTCAACAGCTACACACCTATAGAGGAGTTTAAACTGTACTTCCGGAAGGTTCCAAGCTCTCAGCCCCCGGTACCAGGCCAGCTCAGCACAGGCCACCAGAACAATGTGTACAAGAGGCCAACGAGGAGGGTGAGCTAGTTTGTTTTTCTAGTTGCAAAACAATTTATGAAAAGCTGAACAATTCTGTAAATATCTAGAGGGACAACACAGGTGAGGGGTTGTGATAATTGATGAACAAAATGTTGGTGATTATTAATATTAACCCTCTAAATCTGCTCTAGGCTCTAGGTGTATTTTAAATGAAATTCGAATTCAGAATGAGTGTCAAATGATCGGTTGACTGTCGGGAGGGTGATCACTTAACAACTTAGCTCGAATATTAGTAAACTTATAGCTCGTAATTCATCTGTAAATGTCTTCGTATGCATATTCATAATATCCTAAATGTTTTTGAACTGATTCCATTTAGACACAGAAATCATTTATGATAATCATTGATCCTAATTGCGCAATTAATACAATATTGAAATTGTTGCAAATATTAATTTTTTTCTATGGTTATTAAATTTAAAGTAAATACGATTTTCTACTGTAGCATACCAAAAACATAGAAAACATACATATTATATATACCTTCATGGGCGAGTCAACCAATAATTTACTTGATGTAACTGTCTTTCAAAAATCTCTAGTTAGTTCCTTAAACATCCTTTAACAAAGCGTAAGCTAAAACTGCAATTATTTTGTGTTACTCAAACAAGTCTTCATGTAACCTTTTATTAAAGTAAACCAGCGTATCAGATAGACGTTATTACAAAGGCAAGGCTGGCTCAAAGAGGCCTTACGCAAGAACGGTTGCCTTGGTTATATAAATGTTTTCCTCTTTGAGAAAACTCGTTATTATTCTATAACACAAAGAAGTTTATTCTACTGGTGTTACATATTTTGTTCTGGTATAAACTAGCAAAATGTCTTAATGGTGTACCCTCTATTGCAAGAAAATAATCTTGTAACTGTAATAGGTGATAGTTATGATAAACAAATTTAAGGGTTTGGGAAGATTATAAGTTCTATCAAACGTACATAATATAAATAAGGAATAAAATTAAGTATTCTGTCATTATTCACCAATTAACCTTTAAATAGTAAAAGAAAGTAGTAGGCAAATCCAATTAATTATTAGTCGTCTTTTTAATAGTTAACAGTTACTTAGTAGTACTCCCTGTCTCCCCATATTTTTATTTTGAAAAAAAAATACTGAGAACGAACGACGTTCAACACACAAAAATAAATTATTAAGAATGTACCTGATACATTTATACTTGGGTGTGTGATTAAATGTAGTTACAGGTTATGTTAGGTAGTTCAATAAAGAATCAGTTGATTTTAACATAACAGTGACAATAGTAAACACATTAACAGTCTAGAAACACATCTGTCTTGAAGAGCAATAGTGTAAGACTTACAAATGTTTTCCAGGAGAATGACACACACGGTCAGCTGATCAACGGCAGGTACCCTGGGGATTGGAACAATGTAATCCTCCCAGCCATACCCAGTGAACAGTTCACACAGCAGATGAACTACGTCATCAAAGGGCTGGACGCCGCCGCGCAGTACGAGGCCAAGGTACAGGCCAAGAACAGGTTCGGATGGAACCAAGAGAGTGAGACGTTCCACTTCACCACCAGAGGGGCAGGTCAGTACACAACCCTTGAATAGTATAAATTTGTGAAAACATATTTGACAATGCATCACAAAATCTATCTTTTTATTATTTATACCTAAAGTTCGAGGAATAAAGGTTTTCACGAAAGAAATTGATGTGAAAACTACATTAACTTCATGAACAACGTATATTTGTTACATATACGTATTTGCATTGAATGCAATACTACTCTGTTTCAACTTAAACACCTTCAAGGAACTGGTTTAACAAAAAATGTAATATTTTGAGATGCAACAATGAACTCAAAGTCAACTATTTATAGTACTATACATAATACTATACTTAATTTTATTCCTTATTTATATTATGTACGTTTGATAGAACTTATAATCTTCCCAAACCCTTAAATTTGTTTATCATAACTATCACCTATTACAGTTACAAGATTATTTTCTTGCAATAGAGGGTACACCATTAAGACATTTTGCTATAGTGATCAGAAACTAACGATATAGTGAATAGAGATATAATAACAGAATCGTTTAAAGTTAGGAATATGCCTCATATTAGGGATCTGAATCTTAACAAAAGTTTTTTCCTTCAGTATATTTACCATAGTGATCATGTATGCTACTCATTCTCTAGATTTAAGGATTATAAGAGTCAGTGCTCAAGACATAGACCTAAAGAAGTTTTTTTGGACTTATATATTTACAGGTGGTAGGATTTTTTCTCAACCCAACATAATTTATTGATTGTAAAACATAGAAGAAAGGGAGAAATGAATTGATCAACAGAAAATTCAGTCTGTCGATTTCAGGTTTACAGCATTAGGATCAAATTTTAAATTTGAAACCAGTTAAAATTATAATACGGATAAAGCCATGTTGAAACTTTCCAAAACTGCTCAAGTTAGTTTAAGCACGTAGGCCTAGTTTTCAAACCTATAATCTGACAAGCCTAGTGTCTAAACATCGAAACAAATTGTAAGGAAATAACACAGTTATTTCATATTTATAAATAATTGATTGTACTGTACAAGATTATGTGCATTTATAAACTCATTATCATAGAAACATACGGGATGACAATTAAGTCTTAGGACGACTTAATAGCTTTAAAAAGAAAAGATATATCTCAACCAAATTTGGCATATCATTACTGGTAATAGTAATCTACATGTTCATGTACATGGTGATCGGATGTCACCTAAGGGGAACGGCCCATAGGGAGTAAGTTGAAAACATTAAATGTAAACATAGGTTGACATGTTCAAACCATTGACAATCGAGAAAATAGTTACAGCTTTTCAAAGATTCATTGAATTTGCAATGCTATTAACTCAACCCGCTCCGGTGGGTGCCCGCTAGAAGACGGAAGAAAGTCATAAACGTAAGCATAGGTCGATATGCAGATCAAATTAAATATCTTTACTAGTAGAGTAAAATACCAACAATTTAGGCTCAAAAGAACAACTGAGTAAAAATGGCAGCTGTTAAAGATTCAAAATGGCAGATTCAAGAAGTCTTCTAACGGCTGCCATTTTTGACTCCGTTGTCTATTTGAGGTCTGGTTTGCGGTATTTTTTTTTATCCAAACAAGATCTTTAATTTGATATACATAGCAACATATGCTTAGATTTAAGATGTTCAACTTAACTTACTCCCTGTCCCACATAGTGACATCCGATCACCATGTACACAAAAAAGTAGCTTACCAGTAATGACATTGAATTTGGTTGTGATATCTCTTTTCGTGTTAAAGTTATTAAATCATCCTAAGACTTAATTGTCACACTGTATGAGAATAATAAGATCAAAATAAAGCATAATAAGTCCATATACAGGGTAATACTATGTAGCTTTATATTTTAGTTCCTATAACAAAATACTGAATAAGGTTTTGGGTATTGTAAAGGTGAATAAAACAATAGTTCACAAACAGAATATTTATATATCAGAGAGAAAAGTTCTATTACAATATGTGAATGGTCCTCATCCCATATTCAATTGTAACACTCACACTACCTGTCTTGTCTATATTGTCACGATAACATTCAATTCACCCAGCATGTCCACCTTAAACCTGTGTGCCTCTTTTACGCTTTCAAAGAAAATAGGGTTTTAAATTTTGATCTCAAGTTGTCTCCATGCTCTTTCTATATCATTGCAAAACCTTGCGTACCAGTACATTGAATCAAGTTAGTTTTATGTCTCTATGTGTTTTAGTGAGAAAAAGGGAATAGTCTGATTTCCTTTAAATTTAAGCACAAACAAAAACTATTTAATCTAGCAAGCATCAACGATTTAACTTTCTTATGCTCAAAACCGTTTACTGCTGATAACAACAACATATAAAGATCATTGCAACAACCTAAATTTTGTTTACAAAGTTAAATTAACTTTTTAAAGTGTATTGACGCACACAGGTTTGCTGATTCGCTTGCCATTTCACCTTGTAACTTTATGTTTTGCCCTTGCACATGCCCGTCTTGCCCGTGATGCCCACAGGATCGCTCGAACCCTCCCCTGAAACAGCTGTTTACTCAGGTTAGTCCTCAGTTTCTCTCTTCAACTCTGTGCTTGCGTTTTACTTTATTTTAACAGTGATTAGTAGCGTTTTAGCCTCTTCCTTTCCAACAAAATACATCTTACTCTACCAAAAAGTCTGTAAAATGTATTATTTTACTCAAGAAACTCAATATCTAATCAGATGTATCTTGGCAGATAGGTAGAGAGTAGAATTTATAAACGATAAGACTGGCCACACACTTGCTTAAGTTATCACTAGATATGTGCCACAAAACAACATGTAACATGTATTTAAACAGAAACAAACACATTCCCTATAGCTTTTAGCTCTCTTTTGCCTGTCACACGAACCCTTTTATATAGAATGCATGATCCTAGTTAAAGTACTATGAGCTACACTACCTTGGCTTTTATTTATATTGAAATAACCATACTAAGAAACTTGAAGTACAGCCTACAGTAACATAATAATTGATATGCTGAATCTTCTGTAAGCCAAGACTCACAACATAGAAACAAGCATTAACGATGTGTATAGGAATTTAGGAACAAATATCAATTGTTTGAAAATAACTTACACATTGATTTGAGAAATTTCCTAAATAATGTCAGGGCAAGAAAAAATGTTTCCAGTAAAACATTTTACCAATACCGCATTGAAAATACTTCAATTTATATTGGTTTTACCATGTTCCATATTTACTACCTTTCATTTACGATATACAATTAAAATACTTTATGAATATTTATTTGGTGTAAAAACTTAAAACGTCCAGGAATCAGCTGTTCGTGTAACATAAATGTGTTTCAACGTATGACTTATCAACAATACAGCTATTGATGTAAATCTACTACTTGACAGTCATGGTACATTTTCCTAGTCTCTTAGCAATAAATCCAAGTAGCTTTCATTAATTGTATTACACTAAACGAAAAGCTAATTCAACATATTGAATTGAGGCATAAAAACAATAGAGTATAATCACATTTCTATGTTATTTTGATATTTCCTTGTTGTAGGTTAAATTGTAAGTAAACAAAATTGGTGATGATTATAGTTTTATTAAGAAAATAATGGTTTGTATATGTGCTTAGCTTTTATACTTGAGGATTCATGTCCAACCCTTTGCCCAACAAAATAACTATGTGAAATTTGCTTTTGTTTACTAAAAAATATGATTTATTATTATGTTTTATGGGGTTTTACCAACGAAACGAGTTTTATGTGTATTTTTTCCACAGACCCTGAAGTGAGAGATATGGGGGTGACTGCCTACGGGGGTGCAGCTACACTGGCCTCCTACCCTCTCCTACTTAGTGTTCTGGTCGCCATCGCATCAACGTAGAACCAACAAGTAAGTAGTTTTACTCTTTAATCTGAATTTATTATGGTAAAACTAACTAGTATGTAGGACACTAACTGTTTTAATTAAAATTTGTTAAGAGTATAGTATATTTTATAGTATATTTCCTCAATTTAAGCATAGGAATAGTTACTACCCCGTATTTTAAGCATTTATTTTATATTTACACTTTATGCAATTCATGATTTTACGTCACTGTGAAGGAATATAATCTTAACCTAGATTACATATTCATTTTGCATATCAAGGAGGGGTATTGGTATTATTTCATGCTTCAGTACCAAATGAGATAATTGAAATATAATATAATATTGCATTTTATTACTAAACAAGTGTACGGGAATATAATAGACCAAAAACTAGCGTCGGAAAACTACATCATTGGGGAATTTTGTAGTAATTTTTATTTTACACAGATTTGTTGTCTCATCACTGACTCATATTTGTTTACAGATCTACTAAGCCAGGCTTCACTTAAGCGTGGATAACTAGACAAGGGTGAAGAAGATTGTGGGAAGAAGATAAGCTTATGCAAGAGAGCAGTATGGACTTATATACTGAAAGTGAAGGCCTGGCTATGGCCTAGTGCCCCTCGAAGACTGCTATAAAGACTAAATATGTGTTTACATGTTGTTTGTAAGAAAACCTCAAAGTGACGTCTGAAATGACTTATCTTTTCATAAGATTATTTTGTGTAAATTATGTATTTGTTTGAAGCTGTAAATGTGTATAGAATGCTTTGTAAGTTCCTCAAGAACTATGTGGATTACCAGTTAGGTTTAGAGAGTCATGGTGCACTTTAAGTATTACATTAATTACAACTTTATAACAATTCAGTGTGTTAAAACTAATTCCTTTGTACTGTATATGTTTTTAGCTGGTTTGTCATGTATTACAACTTACTATTATGTATTATAATTTCTAAGCATTGATATTAACAAACTAAATGTACAGTGCATTTATTGTAATTGTTGATAGTTATTTTGTGATAGTCGATATTTAGTTGTTAGTCTATTATACAAGGATATAAATGTGAATATTGACTTTATTTTACTAGACGATATAAATGTGTTTCCTTTATTTAATCATATATATGGTTTTGTATATATTTTGTTGTATCTATTATTAATTTCTTACCCCACTTTTAAAAAGTTAAAGAATTGTAAAATATTAAAAAAAGTAATTCATGAACTATCAGCTCCTAAAATCCAATTCCACTAAACCATGAAATCTTAAAGTAGTAAATTTCGAACTTTATTCATTTGTTATTCGATATTTTATAATAACTTGGAATCCTTCATGATTTCAAAACATTCCCTGTTATGATTACAATAGAGTGTTTAATGATAAGTATTTATGGGGAATTAAAAAATATTCCCTATATATTAAAGACATTTTTATATAATTTTTTATTTACTTAACCTAAAGTGAATACACCTACTCTCTTCTGAATGAGAGGGAATTCTATATTTTTGAGACACCTGTAAATGTTTTTCTGTGTGTATTTTATAAAACTGTTAGCCATAAGAGTTGTATATTGACCTAATTCTCCGGTAAGTGCTTCGAATTCTTCCTCATGTGTGATTTTAGCTTGTGTAAAGCATTAAATAATACTAACATTCCGATTATAACTCGTTACAACTACTTAAAATTTGAATGATTTGGACTATATCTAGCTAAAGATAAAAAATAATATGTTTTCAAAAAGTTATTAAAATTCTGCGTAAGAGTTGAGTAATTTGAAACAACATAATGTACACTAAAATCACACATTACTTTTCTAATCAGATGAATATCTCGAATACGGTTAATTCAGATTTTAGAAGAAAAATATAAACCATAATCACACGAGATTTTTATCCTGATATTTTACACTTTCTAAATCAAATAACAAAACTAAAATCAGCTTAAACCTATTCGAGGGGGTTGCAGCGATGAGTGAAATACAAAGTCTACTTTTGTATCAAGAAGAGCTTACCAGACTAGGTTAGCTAATTTTGTATATGAAAGCAAGTCTAATGTGTGAGGGCCGAGCTTGTCAGAGGCATTAGTACCTTTCAACTAGCATATTAGTTTTAAATTGAGTTTATGTGATTTATATACTAAATGTGCTTTCTTTTATAAATGTGCAATGCTATGTCATATATTGTAAACATTTCTGTCTAAACCTGATCTTAAAGTGATTTACTTTTGAAGGAGTAAATGGAATTGATGATAACCTGTGATTTTCATAATTATTTTCCCATCATTGATGACTATTTGTTTTTGGTTACATTTTCAGATAAAATGAAGTTTCAAAGATACCATTGGATACCAAATTTTATAAGGACACTTTCAAGAGTTTTCGAAATGTATATTTGGAATCTGGACACATCAAAACAAAAAGATTTTCCCAGCCCCAGGTTTCACTATGAGCCCTATGGCAATAGCTTTTTCCTATGTGGGAAATTGGCTAGTAAAAAGCGTAGGCTACAAAAATAAATTATTGTAGTAAACAATCGTCTAAATAAAAAAATAAAAAAAAACTTATGAACTCTTTAGATTTAATGACCGCCTTTCAACAGTTTTCTAAATTGAGTCGTTAAACAAAAGTAAAGAAGATAAAAATAGATTTTATAAGGTTTGCTAATTTAATAGTACATAACGTGTATTGCCTTTAAATATCGAAATATCTCACTTGATGTTTGCACACATTTTTAAATGTATATTTGAAACCCAAAATGCTATAGCGTGTAGAGAGGAGTGATGTTCACCATTAGACACAAATTCAGCCTCAGAGATGGATACGGCCAGATTAATTATTTAATGGACCCTCTCTCCTTCTCTCTCTCGCTATATATTTTCTCTCTCCCTTCTAGCATTTCAATGCCTCGTCCGTCTTTAAAAAAACGACGGTCGTTCATAAAAGGCTTCATTGATAGTCTAGTACATAGATACATTAGACTGCCAGTATGTTTGCATTGAGATTAGCATACTACCGTAGGCTATTGTTTATAACAATATGGAATAACTAAGAACTTAATACGTTTAAATAACCTTATATAATATACTTATCGTCTAAGAATCAATAACTAAAACTATGGAATAAAATAAACCTATTTACTAAGTCATTGTTAAAGTGTGCTACCGTAAAATGTAGTTTTCATCTTACACACAAAATGCTTTATTTTTTTAAACTGGGGGGGGGGAATAAATTCTAAACTATATTAAACTGCATATACTGTTCTCCCAGTGGATTAGGCTTGGATCCTATGAAACTGTATTGTATTGAACTGTATTGTTAAACCAAAGAAATACATTCAACGAAGCCTTCATCTAATGAAGAGGAGATCGAAGAATATGTAAGTATAGTAAGATCAAAACATCTGCTCGACGTGTTCCACTGAAACCTGTGACAACTATGCATGATCGACAAAAACAACAGCAAACACAATCTACAAAAATGTTCACAATTAATATTAATAAAAACTATTACTTCATCGACCTACAAATTTGAATTGCAGCTTTTCCTCCGCTGAACTGGATCGACGAATATTTTTAGAGCTCCTAATTTGCAAATAAAAGCGAACTACAAACGATTCAGATTGCTTCTGATTCCAAACTCATTTGTTTGTCGTAACAGAAGGAAGGGTGTTCGTTTGTCACATTATAATTGCTAATGGCCTCTTTTGATCTGAGGTCGGCCTCGGGGAGATCTCCTACCCCTACCACAAGTAGCCCTCAGGGAACTGTAGGGAGCTCAAGTGATTGTGATGAGGTTATTTTGGTGACTGTATTTTACAATGTTGCTAAAACTGAACTGAAGTGTTATGGATGTGTATATTTTGGACGCAAGTAAATGGAACATGTTGTGTAAGCCTGGTTTCATTTGACTCAAACATAAATGGGGAAAAATGTGTTACAGTTATCACTAACACGATTTATTGTTAGTGGTTAGTTTATTAATATTAATGTGTAAAAATCTGTACTTAATTAAAATGTTGATAGGACGTTTTAAAATATTATTTTTTTAGCTTATGAACTGTTATGATATTGTATAGATTTTTATTTAGAGTTTTGCTAAGCTTTGTACAGGAGTTTAGAAAGAAACACTTATCCGTTAAGTAAAATAGAATATCGTATGAGGAACAAAATAAACATTGTGCAGTTACTTCCTTTATGTAGGATTTAAAAATCCTCTTATAAGGCTACTATGTTTTAGCTCTAAATTTTCCCCTATATTGAACCCCATATTATACCTTTTATACCTTTTTTAAAGATTCCTATCAATTAAATGCTCTTAAGTTAAAATTTTTCGCATGACACAAGTTTTGAATTTAAATAAGGAATTAATTATCAATTAAAAATATGAGTTCAACTACTCTGAATGGATTTTCCATTTAGTTTGACCTAACAAATAAAAATATTTAAACATTGTCGTTCGATGATCTAAATATTGTTTAGAATTGTATTGAATAGCTTTTGTGGACAAATGTAGTTATACTTTACTTAAATATGATCAAACTTTGTTTGAAAATGAATCCATCCCCCCGGCGTTCTAATAAACATTAGGAACAGGCTATATTTGAAAAAAAAATGCTACCACAGTTTTTACTATATACAAAACTATTTTTATATTTATATGTTAATAATAATAATCTAGTTCTTGCATTAAAATTTAAGATTATGTTATTATTATAGTTTACATAATTATTATCATTTTAAATAATGTATGAATGCTAATTGATTTTAAGTCCAGGATAGTTTCATTAAAAGCCGTGATAGGGTAATTTTAAATGTTTTTTCGGTACCAAACTCCAGCATGTTAAAATATAAAACAAGATAATATGAATTAATTACATTCCAATATTTTAAATTTAAGAAGCTTGATTTAATTTAAGCTCAAGAAGTTAAGCTTAAGAAGTTTAATTTAAGATTAAGAAGTAATTTTAATTTATATAATTTTATCGGCATATAAACATCGTCAGCTTTTTAAAGTTTAGTAGTTTTTTTCAATGTTTGTTTTAACCTAAAGTCTATTATTTTTAACAATCTTCTCGTTTTTCAATAGTTTGTATAGATGTCATTTACTCTGATATTCAATCTCTCAAAACTATCTGTCTCCAAAAAATTTAAAATTAGTCTGGAGAAACTTTCTACTCAAACAGTTTAGTGCTGAGGTATGTTTAGTCTAATAATATTTAGGTTAGTATTTGTTGTCCAACATACATAAACGGTCTCAAGTCGAACAATCAACAAATAATTAGTTTAAATTTAGTTTGCATTTTTTTTCAAAATAGTTAAATGTAAATAGATAACAATAGCTGATGTTTCTTGAGTTCATATAAAATCAAATTATTCTAAGAGATGCGGGGAATGAGCCTTGTTTTTCGAAGATTTATTCGATATACGAGCTGGTAGCCATTGGGCTGAGAAAAAGAAATCGTCTGTAAAAATGTGAGCACTAATAATCTCTGAGACAGAAGCACAGTTTCAAATCAACATGGCATTTGTTATCTTATTCTGTTACTCCTAAACACCAAATTATTTTTATTCAATTTCTTAAAGTTGGTTGTAATTATAGAAAATGTTTACCAAGTTTACATTGTATATAGGGTTATTATTAGAGGAGAAACAAAACGATTTCTAGAGAATTTACTAATACAAACAACGAAGAAAAATTTGTTTGAAGTAATATGCATTTTGTTACGATAAAAACATATTGATTATATTAAACCTACCTCACATCAAAAAAATCATAAAGATTTCAGTTTTATTAAAATATGCATGTTTATAGGTAAATTATACATTTTTACGTCTAGAGCGATTTGAAGTGTCTTAACAATACGGTAAATAAGTAAGGGCGATTTTCTATGTAGATCTGAACTGATATTAAAGTTTAAAGGCGTATTTCATGAATTAATTGGCTTAGACTTAAGCAGCTTAAGTAGCATACTACTAAATAATATATTTGTAATATCACACAAAGCTAATAAATTTAAATTAATAACTGCATGGAATTGATAACGTAGGTCTTTATTTTAAAACTGTTGCTAAGTTTGCATATTATGCACTTCGTATGCGAATGGAGTTTAATTATTTAATTTTTACTTCATTAAGAGTGAGGTAAGGTAAGCTAACTAGTTCATTAACTAATAATAACTTAGGCCTAGTGTAATAATTAATAAGGTGTGTAGTAATAGTTAAGCCCTAATAACTTAGGACTTAGTGATTTTAAAAATCCAAACAAGTAAAAAAACTTGAAAAAATATGACAATATTTTTGTTAACTACTGTAATCACAAAGTCTAGATAAAACACAATTTTACATGACACTAAACTTATTTTAAGGAGAGTGTCTATTTCGTAAGTATTATTTTCAAGCCTTTCAATATATACAACCTTTAAGTGACATACCTAATCTGTTTGTAATACTTTTCTACCCTACAGAAAGGTGTTTCTATTTTCCAAACATATTATTGTTAGTCGTTCAGGGTGTTTTTTTTTTCAAAAAGTATTCAAGACAATTTATATTTATACACATTTTAATATTACTTTAATTTAAAACATGTAAAATATACTTAAAACGCCAACCAGAGGACGTATTGCATTTCGCTACAATGTAAGCAGAGGGATTGTCTTGTTGACTGTCACAAGCCATAAATCTGCGTCGCACTCGATCGAGTCCTTGTGGTTTATTAGTTCAAACCGGCGGTTAACTGTATTTAATGATGCGTCAGAAATTATAAAATTTCTTTATTTTCAGTTTTGACTTACATCCGTCCAAACATAGACAAAAATTACAATTTCACAGATGTAATGCCATGGAAAACAGGTATCAAGGCTATAATTTGTATTTAAAAGTTACGGAAATTTTCTATTGGTTAAAAATGAGTGTTAGGTAGGAGGACATATCAGTGTAACAACAATGATATTTAATAACTTCTTTATCAGAATTGTACGTGTTATTAAATTTACGGAAAGTAATACGCTATTCGTCATTCTATTCGCCTATTGGGTCTGATTATGATTGGAGTGTCCAATTGAAATCGATCACCACTTACCATCTAATTTGTATATTTACCGCCTTGTGAGTAACACTATAAGCGTAAATATATATGTTTTAAGTGTTATAAGACGTTTCTTTTATTTACTTTCTGTAATCATGATGATTTTCTCCCATCTTGAATATAATTTAACCTAAATTACATGCAAATACAATGTTATCCGT